TCTCTTCCTGTGTCCCCCCCCCCCCCCCCCCTCTTCTGTACCACTCCTGTCTGCCTTTCTCTCTCACCCCCACACACACTTTCAGACAGCACCGTGCTCCTGACTGAGTGACAGCCGGCAGACAGTAGTGATGAGCGGGTTGCTCAGGTGTCGACAGCCGCTCCCTCGCTCCGTCTCCTCGGTCACTGTGTTGGAAACGCACACCTCTGTTTACCGACCACCTGTTCATGGGTGAACGGACCACGGTGAGTCTCTCTCTGTCTTCTACTCTGTGTGTGTCTTATTTCACGTACAGTTCAGAGTGCACTCTCCGTGTGTAGTTGTGTGTCATGAAATTACTCTAGGTGTTTTCTAAATTAGACATACAAAACGTTTGGATATCTAGGAATAAGTAATGACACAATTATGTCGCTAGGGGCGCAGCCGAACCACAACCATGAGAGCTGCAACAGATTGCACTGATATGATGCATAACTTTGACGTCACCTTATCTAAACACTGTCAGACACTAAGGAATTATTTTACGTGGAAAAAAATAATACTGAATAACTTTTTCATTTCAGCAACATTTATGAGTTCATATTTATCACTCATTTAACCTCATAATTAATCCAAATGGAAAAAAGTATATTTGCTTCCTCCCTGTTCATTTTATTAAGGTAATTATGAGCTTTCTTACTAATCTTATGAATGCATGGTTAACAGCTATCAGGTCGTCAGTGATGATGAGAACAGGACAGAATATACAGTAGAGTAAATGTAGAGCGTGTTGTAAAAATCCAATCAACATAAATACATTCATTTTACATTACTGCCAGAATAGCTAAATCGTGAAATAATAAAAAACAAGAAAACCGATTGGCGTGCAGTAGTAAAAAAAGATGATCTAGATTATTTGACACAAATCTTTATATTGAGATCCTTTTAATCCTCCAGTTGTAGTCTACATTAATATGTAAATGATTAATAAAACAGAGCTACAACAGATACCCTGCAAAACCGCACCTCTGTTTATGTCAGAAATGATTGGTTGATTCTGTGATTAAGGCTTAAAGTCACCTTTGTTCTTATCACCGACTTGTTCTAATTCATTTTTGAAATAAAATATTAATATTTATTTTGTCAGAATTTAGAACAATGTGGTTATCCCGCAACTGAGTTTTGATAAAGATTAGGATTGATTAATAAACAGCCTCTTCCACTGAATTGTGTTAATGTTAATGTTAAACTTAGGACAGTCAAGATCAGTGTAGATCAGTCAGCTTTAACACATGTTGTCAGAAAACATGAAATCATATTGTATTTTCCGTGAACCTTGTGATGGTAACAGTTATCAAAGTTTGTTAACGACGTCCCTTTTCCTCTGCTGCCAAGCATGTGTCGTTTCTATTCGTTGAAGATCTATGGACGTGCTACGGGCTACACACTGCACGGCGTTTGCGCGCACGCACGTATTCTCTCGCTCGGTATTATTGAAACCAGCCACCATGGGGAGTTGAGGACAAGACAACGAGCTATTTTGCTGAATATCTGATATCGGAAAAGTATCCATATGCTGCGCTTTGGAGCAGACGCTTCGGGCCAATATCCCCAATGCAGCGGATTAAGGGGGCCGCGCTTCCAGAGACGGTAAGATGAACACTTTGGTGGAAAACACGGGACGTTAACGCACCTAGCCAAGCTAGCTTAGCTAGCAGGCTAACAAAATCCAGCAGCCACTGCAGGCAGCAAAGTGAAAACGTGCACTGACTTTCTTCTTTCCAAACATCCAAAACCGACCGATTTGTCCCAATTGATGTGATTGAAAGTTTGCGCTGGTTTTATGTCACTTTGCTCTTCACCATTTAACGAAAAAAGTACGCCTGTGTCTGTGGTGTGGAAGTGTTGTGCATGCAGGCCCGTCTTGTGTGGTTGTAGAGTTTGTTTCTGTACCCATCCCCCACCATCTTTGCAGGCCAACATGAATGAGATTCTCACGTTAAAGCGCTGGCATTTGTGGTGGCATTGCTGCGAGGCTAGCTAGCTGTCTCGGCTTGTTAACATTCGCTGGTTATTTAGACAATTCGGTTTTGAAGTGTTAGCTTTGCGTGGACGCTTCCAGGCGCTGGGTTTAATGTCGCTGTTGAACTAGCAACAAAAACTTAGTGGTGAACTTGATCTTGGCGACTTGTCTTCAAAGACTGGAGTTGTTGCTTTAGTCTGAATTGGCGATTGTAACTCAAGCTTCAAAAACATTTGAAATATGTATCGAGTCTCATCAAAACGACAACTTCAGAGTTTTTAGTCACAGACGGTCTTTCTGCTTAAATTGAACCGTTGGTTCCGTTCCGAGACAATGTCTGTTTGACCTATAACTCGTTCAAAAGTTTGTTTCACCGGTGTTTACCAGCCAAACATTTCCTGTTTTGTTTTTTGTTTTTTAAATGAAACACAGTATAAAGCTTGGGGTATTTATTGTTGGTATTGTTCGTTTGTAAAGTTGTAGTAATGACATGGTTATAGTGAAGTTTGTGTTTCATGAAACATCTCTGAGGTCCTCGACCCTTTGCCTTGGTTTGTTTTAGACAATTGTACTGAAAACTCAACAGACTTTTCTGACAACAACAATGGTACAATATCGAAATAGTTGTTTGAATTTCAATATTTGTCAAATGAGTTAACTTTTAAACTAAAGCTTGCCTCTGATATAATACTTTCTGTGGAGAAAAGTAAACTATCTCACTTTTCTAATCACTTTTTGAAATGTGATGTGATGTGAAATGCAACGCTTTAGAATTAGGACAACCTTTTTTTCCTTTTTCCTTTTGCATCTACTTATCTCAGCACGCTACAGTACTGTTTGTCTCGTGTTTCTTCTTCTTGATAATGTTGCATTTATTATTATTATTATTGAGTAATGTGTACATATAGTCATTGAAATATGTTTTGTTGAATTTTTGTAACAACATTTTGGAGGAGTGGTGGCTTGGTGGTTAAGGAAGCAGACTGGTCTGGGAAGGTCCCATGTTCGAGTCCAGCAGCTGCCAAGTTACCACTAAGGTACTCTGAGCATGGCACCATCTCCACATATTGCTCCTCAGACGCTTAAGCCTCCCCCTGCTGACTCTGGTGGTGGGTAAAATGCAGAGGTCACATTTGGAGGTGTGCAGTGGTGTACTGTCAAACAATGACAAATAATTGACTTTCATGTATATAACTTGCTTCCAGTGCTCTTTCTGATTGGCCACACATTAATCGATAAACAGTCAATACAACATTCGTGTTTAATTCTCAGCAAACCTCCATAGAGCTTTATTTAATCCCATGTTTCAAACAAACCTTCTTTTGTGATTTGACATGTGGCGTCTGGCTTTAATAGTTTCCCAAAGTTGGGAAGCTCTTCCATCTTGGTGATTTATTGAAACGGACGTTAAAGAGACAGACACTCTCCTGTAACTGTGGAGTGAAGACTCCATTATTAATGCTGTGACTGATCAGTCATTGTTTGTTTGTCTGTCAGCTGAGTCCCATTATTGGATGATGAGAAATGACTAAAGCATTTTTCTTTTCTCCAACACAGGGTGAACCATTTGCCAGCAGAACCGTTGCCAGAGGCGAAGATCTGACTTCTGCCTTGTGCAATCTGAGACATGAGTGTAGTCAGAGAATTACATGGGATTGGGTTCAGGGGCGGTGGTGGGGTTGTAGCCTCTATGAACGGTCCTACCCATTTTACTGAAGATGCTCCCAGACCTCCAGTTCCCGGCGAGGAGGGGTCTGACGTGGACCCTCCGGTCCAGTCGGCCGGCACCCGTCCAAATACGTTTTCCCAAACACTCGGCTATCCCCTGTCATCCTCGTTGTCTAAAATGGGGGATCCTTCAAGTTATACACCCTCCTCATCATCTGCAACTCCACGCCGCCCTGATCTAGACTTGGGCTATGAACCGGAGGGCTCAGCCTCGCCGACTCCGCCGTACCTGAAGTGGGCTGAGTCCCTTCACTCACTACTAGATGACCAGGAAGGCATCCAGCTCTTCTAATGTGTACATATAGTCATTGAAATATGTTTTGTTGAATTTTTGTAACAACATTTTGGAGGAGTGGTGGCTTGGTGGTTAAGGAAGCAGACTGGTCTGGGAAGGTCCCATGTTCGAGTCCAGCAGCTGCCAAGTTACCACTAAGGTACTCTGAGCATGGCACCATCTCCACATATTGCTCCTCAGACGCTTAAGCCTCCCCCTGCTGACTCTGGTGGTGGGTAAAATGCAGAGGTCACATTTGGAGGTGTGCAGTGGTGTACTGTCAAACAATGACAAATAATTGACTTTCATGTATATAACTTGCTTCCAGTGCTCTTTCTGATTGGCCACACATTAATCGATAAACAGTCAATACAACATTCGTGTTTAATTCTCAGCAAACCTCCATAGAGCTTTATTTAATCCCATGTTTCAAACAAACCTTCTTTTGTGATTTGACATGTGGCGTCTGGCTTTAATAGTTTCCCAAAGTTGGGAAGCTCTTCCATCTTGGTGATTTATTGAAACGGACGTTAAAGAGACAGACACTCTCCTGTAACTGTGGAGTGAAGACTCCATTATTAATGCTGTGACTGATCAGTCATTGTTTGTTTGTCTGTCAGCTGAGTCCCATTATTGGATGATGAGAAATGACTAAAGCATTTTTCTTTTCTCCAACACAGGGTGAACCATTTGCCAGCAGAACCGTTGCCAGAGGCGAAGATCTGACTTCTGCCTTGTGCAATCTGAGACATGAGTGTAGTCAGAGAATTACATGGGATTGGGTTCAGGGGCGGTGGTGGGGTTGTAGCCTCTATGAACGGTCCTACCCATTTTACTGAAGATGCTCCCAGACCTCCAGTTCCCGGCGAGGAGGGGTCTGACGTGGACCCTCCGGTCCAGTCGGCCGGCACCCGTCCAAATACGTTTTCCCAAACACTCGGCTATCCCCTGTCATCCTCGTTGTCTAAAATGGGGGATCCTTCAAGTTATACACCCTCCTCATCATCTGCAACTCCACGCCGCCCTGATCTAGACTTGGGCTATGAACCGGAGGGCTCAGCCTCGCCGACTCCGCCGTACCTGAAGTGGGCTGAGTCCCTTCACTCACTACTAGATGACCAGGAAGGCATCCAGCTTGCGTCAGGAAGTGTGTGCGGACCTTCTGGACTTCTGGTTTGCTTGCTCGGGGTTCAGGAAGACCAGTCAAGAGAAGAGGGCAAAGCTGGCCAAGGCCATCTACAGGAAGTACATTGTCGACGGAAGCGGGATTGTCTCGAGGCAGATCAAAGCAGCCACCAAGAGCTTCATCAGAGACTGCGTGGGGAAGCCGCATCCAGACCCTGCCATGTTTGAACAGGTATTTAAAAACCATTCTGTTCTATAGAAGTCATTCTGTAGGTTCTGTTACGTCGAGGCCTGGTCTGTTCGTCATGACTGATCACACTGACAACAGTTGTAAACACAGATGTTTACGCTTCCATATCATCTAGACTCACCACTGATCACTGTTGTGTGCAGTGATGTGTGTCACAAGGACAAGGAGTTCACTTTCCTTTCCTTTAGTATTTGTGTCAAAAACACAGCAGCTCCTGTTGTCACAGACAGAGACACGGTTTAGTCTTTACCCATGGTGTGACACTTTGTAGCTTTGTAACGAACAGAGATCATGGTCATGGATTGTGCTCTGATGGCCCATAATGGAGCGTCACAGCCAAAGCTGCACTGAGGCCAAACCATGTGCCTTAACCAACAGTTGTTGTCCAAGAAAGATGTCATAGATTCAGTAAATGAATTGGCAATGCGTTGAGTCATCAGTGTTTCATGGTTCTGTTGGTTTCTACCTGATGTCAGTGTGCTATGTTTTTCTTCCATGTGTCGTTGATTTATCATCAAGGCCCAGACAGAGATCCAGGCCATGATCGAGGAGAACACCTATCCTCTGTTCCTAAAGTCAGATCTGTACCTGGAGTACACAAGAACTGGAGGAGAAAGTCCAAAACCTAACCCCAGCGATCAGAGCCCTTCGTCGGGGCCTTCCAAGCCTGTGCCGGCATACTTACCCACCCTTCCCGAAGATGACGAGTGGAGGTAAAAGGATCCTGAGACAAAAATGTCATCATCATATTTTGAGTATTTGGTCAGAGCGTTGTTGTTGTTCTCAGGTGTGGTAGTGGAGGTGGCGGAGGAGGAGTGAGGGAGGATGATGAAGAAAAAGATGAGGAGTGTGGAGACACACCAGCTAGTCGCCTGACGCACAGCTTGTTGATGCAGACGGCGACACAGAGAGTGTCAGTGAGCAGAAGGCGACAGGAAAGCAGGGAGTACAGGTTTGTGTCTACAGCCATGTATTTGTACTGTCAGTTCATACCAACCAGCTAAAAGTACTAGAAGAAGTGGCAACTTTGAACCTTGACGTTCTGTCTGAACATCCACAGACCCTGGAGGGAACCGGTTAACCCATACTACTTAAACATGGGCTACGCTGGTGCTCCAGCCACCAGCGCCAATGACAGCGAGCAGCAGAGCATGTCGAGTGATGCAGACACACTGTCGCTGACTGACAGCAGTGTGTGAGTGCACTTTGGAAAAAGAAAATCTCCGATACATGATAGGTGACAACACTGCACCTCTGTTGTCTGTTTTTCATGGCTCTTTACTCATGTTTGTGCGTGCAGAGACGGTATTCCTCCATATCGATATCGAAAGCAGCATCGTAAAGAGATGCATGAAAGTGCCAAAGCCAATGGACGTGTGCCCCTACCTCATATACCTGTGAGTTCAACGACTCTTCATTACAGCATTACCATCATGAGCTAGAACCCACATTGTTTATCTGTGTATGAATTATATATACTCTGTGTATATATATATATATATACATATACATATATACATCTTATTTATTCATTTTATCAAAGACAAAACAAGCGGCTCCTGATTCATAGTGAACTACGTCAGGTGTGTAACATCTGTTCTTCTGTCTCCTGCAGCGCACGTACCGCATGCCAAAGGATATTCACGTGGAGCCTGAGAGGTTTGCAGCAGAGCTGATCAGCAGGCTGGAGACGGTACTCAGAGAGAGAGAGGCTCAGGAAAGACTTGAAGAGAGGCTGAAGAGAGTACGACTGGTAAGTGTGCAACTGCTGCTGTGGTTGTGGTTGTGCTGTAACAAATGACAGCTTTAGCATCATCTAGTGGTGATAGAAAGTGAACACTGAGCCCCTTGTTTTAACCAGTTGTCCGTCATGGCCTCACATACGTAGGACATCCAGTATGGTCCATGAGCAGGGAGTAAAATGTTTGTTTGGTATTCCTAACAGGAAGAAGAGGGGGATGATGCTGACATCTCCATGACAACCTCCATGTCTTCTCACAGCATACCACTTCCCCTCCCCTCTTCATTTCCTCCTCTCTACGGAGCCCGTTACTCAGAGACCACTGCTAACACGGCAACAGTCACCACTTACGGCGGCCTGGTTGCCATGGAGGATTCCCATGAAGATGACCCTGAGTCCATTTTGGACGACCATGTGTCACGTGTGATGAAAACCCCAGGCTGCCAGTCACCAGGGGCAACCAACAGCACCTTAGGAGGAGGAGGACGACACACTCCTCCCAAATCCTCACGTTCACCTGACGGAGGGGTTGGACCGCCTCATTACCCCCCACACCGAGGAGGAGGACACAGTGCTCCTCCTGCTGCTGTCAAAGGTAGAGTTACTTCCTCCGACTGAAGGAGGTGCTGAAAGAAGACTTCCGTCTTAGTAATAGAAGCTCTGTCTGAGATTTATTGCAAACTTTTGCTCCTCATTCTAACATTGCTTGAGCAGATGTGTGTGAACTTTTTCACTTCTATTTGCACGGTGAGAAGCTGCACAACACCTTTTAACCCTTGTGTTGTCTTTGGGTCATTTGTTCTTTTTGAAGTTGTACTTTATTTCATCTTTCGGCCCTGAATTTCAAAGCCTTTGATTTCATTTTGTGCAGAATGAGGTTTTGTCATTGTCTTGGAGTTAATTAACTTTTCTGGAAGTGGGGTTTAAACACATTAAGTATTATACGCTGTATAATTTCAGTAAAATGTCAATTGTGTAAACAGTATTGTTGGTCACTAATGACCCTGTTGTCCTCCTAAGGTATTCACCACCACAAGCAGCTCTACCACCACAGAGGGCGAGAAGGACAAGAGGAACCAGGTTCCAGGTCGCAGGCTAACTTCCCATGGAACGGAGACCCAGCTGCTCAGTATCCAGGGAGGGGTCGTAACTACGCTGATGGGGCTGGAGCCAGCACGCTGGAGGGAATGGGCTACGGGTAAGTCTGCCTACCTGTGGGTGTTGTTGCTAGTTAGTGGTGTCTTCTGTACTTGACTTCTCTCATGTGTGGCCGTTCTTCACTCTACAGCAGTAAAGGGAGCACGTTGTCAAGGCGAGGCTGCAAGAAGCCCTCAGAGACATCAGGCAAAGTGGATGAGAGTGGGCGGGCTGTGGAGACTCAGGTGCCACTGGAGGACCTGGAGAGGAACCAGAAGATCCTGCAATGGATGATGGATGGAGAACGGCAAAGGAAGAGCTCCCACGGGTGAGTTCACTTTGGGGGAGAAACTACATCAAACAATTTAAATGATTTAAAATCAGTGTGACTGAGTGGATCGACTCAATCTGAAATATGTTGTAATACATCCATTCTGCTTCTTTCTCCAGCGGCAGCACCAGTAGCTCCAGGAGGACGGGCACCAGCAGCGAGTCTCCACGGCCAACCTCAGTGGAGCGCCCTGGCGCCGTCCACCCTTGGGTCTCAGCTCAGCTCCGAAACAACCCCTCATCAGTGTCGAACACTATCCCTGGCTCGTCGACTGGCCAGGTCCAGCCTTCACACCCGTTCATCCAGGACCCAGCTATGCCCCCCAATCCAGCTCCCAACCCCCTTACCCAACTAGAGGAGGCTAGGAGGAGGTTGGAGGAAGAGAGGAGGAGGAACGCACTACAGCAGGCAAAGCAGAGGTGAGGCGACGTCTTCCTGCTCCGGCCGTTTCACTGTGTCTGCTTGTGTTATTGACCCAGATCGTGTTCTGTTGAAGGCACAAGTCTGGTAAACGCCAAGTGTGTGAAAACATGACGGTCGCTTACTATTTTTGTGGAGAGCCGATCCCGTACAGGACATCAGTCAAAGGTCGTGTGGTGACTTTGGGTCAGTTCAAAGAGTTGCTCACGAAAAAGGGCCACTACAGGTGAGAAGGTCTCATAGTCAACGTGTACTTGATTGTCCTCTCATTTAAAACCTGACTCCTAGAACTAACTCCAACTCTGGACACTCTCTGCACAGGTTCTACTTCAAGAAAGTAAGCGACGAGTTTGACTGTGGTGTAGTGTTTGAGGAAGTGCGCGACGATGACGCCATCTTGCCAATCTTTGAGGAGAAGATCATTGGGAAAGTTGAGAAGGTTGATTGAGATTTGGGAACCGTAAGACGATGAATACCTGCACAAAAAAAATAATCATTTGGAAAAAGAAAGAGAACGGGTCGGGTTGGTAAGAAAACAGAGCTGTGTGAAAACAGAAGAAGTAAGTAGAAAGATGGACAGAGCAGTGTGTTGACAGAGGAGCTGGTTTTTATTTATGGAATACGTCTGTCTGTGTCGAAGCCACATGGAGGGAAGAAGCTCAGTTGGATTGAACTGAAATGATTTCACCTGTCTTTGTTCTGGTGTGAATAGTCAAGGACGGCTGTAATCATTTGAATCGGGTCCGTTTCTTATGTTGGTGGATGGAACCAGGGTGAGAGGAAAGTCTTCCACCAGGAGGCGTCTGTCCTCCATCAGACCATTACGATGCTGCTACATTACCACGGAAACTCTGTAATTGGTGCTTGGACAGTCAAGAATGCAGTCCTGGTCCATTCTGGAGTCTCACTGCCTTTTGCTGTCTCTGTTCCTCATCAGCTGGACACGAGGAGAGGACAGAGGATTTTTGGGGAGTGGAACTTTTTTTCAAGTGTGTGTTTGCCTGTTTCTCCTCTCAGTGACTTCACAGCCTCAAAACAGAATCTTTCTCACCCTCCACTCCTGGATTTGTGTAGTGTTCTCACATCCACATCTGTGGACAAGCGTTCTTTACGTAACTTGTTTACCAAAGCTACATATTTTTGATAAACACAAGTATCCTACTTACTTGTTTTCATTTAATTTGACTTGTGTATGTACAAGGCAGGTACTATAACTTACTAATGCAGCCTAATCTTGTCATATCTCCACTTTGTATTTTTGTGTATGTTTTGAAGCTCAGTCATTAGTCATTTCAGGGCAACCATTTTTCTTGTCCTTTGTCTAAACCACATTCAGACACCTCAGCTCTGTACTGTTTACCTTTCTCATTTTTCTGTTGTGTTCATTCACCTCAAAAATCCCAAACACACGGTAACCCTCTGTTGGACACTGATGATGCAACAACTTTGACCACAACACCTGTTTTTTTTTTTTGTTTTCTTTCGGTAGCTGCCTGTGAACCTCATGCTGTCTTGTATTGTTATTATTTTTGCACGTCAGGATGCCGTGTGCGCGTCTCGGTGCCTGCCTTCCCGTCTGTCTCTGCCATTATTCCCAAAATGTGTTTAATGTGCATCGGAAAGTGTGATCGCCTGTGTCAGTCCCAGTTGTGTGAACTCAGCCAAAGAGCATATCTCACTGCCTTCGTGTAATTCTAAACAGTTGAGGTCTTGTGCTACACATGTCAAGGTCACAATAAACGGTTAATTCATTAGTGTAAAGGTCAAAGAAGCCAGGACGACAGCTGCAGTTTTTGTTGTCCACACTGAAGAGTAAAGATGTCCTCCAACAACCCACGCAGCTTTACCTACAGTTAGTAAAATAATTTAGCTCTCAATTAAATTGTATTTAATATATTATTTAACACTTTTTAAGGTTCAAGGTAGTTTAATTTGATAACTTTAGGCCTAGATCCACTCCTTCCCCTTGTCTTCTTTTTATATAAGCTAAGCTAATTGGCTCCTGGCTGCAGTTTAATATTTTAAACAAAGAAACATGTTCATCTCACCATACCATTCTATTGACCACTGATTTAACACGTTTTAATAAACTGCACAGGCAACACACTCAAGTTGGCTGAATGTTTTCTGTGTTAAAACCCCCCCCGAAACTCTCAGATTCTCCTCCATCTCCTCGCCTGACTGTTTTTGTCACGGAGGTTAACTGAATGTCATCAGAAATCAACGTGAGAATGTCGAACAACACTTTGATTTTTTTTTCTGCCCTGTAAGGGAAACATTGGATTGTTAAAACATTTATTTTGTCCTTACTCCAACACATTTGGCCTTCAGTGTGAAATTTAAAGATTTAGACATGTATTTGTTTATTAAAGCTGTCATTTTAATATACACTAAGCATGTTCTTAATGAGGAATGTTTTCCTGATGGGTTGAATAATCTATTTGTTTTTATTGTTTTATGTACAAACTGCTATAGCCCTCTTATTTTACCTGTTGTGTTAGAAAGAGCTCCCGGGAACAGTGTTTCCTGGGACACTACTTTGGTGAACAGAACAAAATATTTGCGTCAGTTTGTGTGAAACACAGTGCCTTTGTCATGATATCTATAGAAATCACACTTTTATTTTCCCTCTGTCCTGTTAGACGTTAGCTGCAGTCATGCTGTCTCACTTTGGTTCTGATACTCTGTGCTGTAAATATGTACATTATCATTTCATACATTTCTTCAGACCTGCACCACGTTCATGGTGTTTCTGTTTTTCAAAGTTGAACGCCAAGATGTCACTGTGCTGGTTCCACTTGTACATTTCTTTTAAAAGGTACTTCATAATAAAGATGTTAAAAGAAACAGGACTCATGTTTATCTCTGTGATTCTCAGAATATGTTTGTATATGTGGACACACGGGTGCAGACCAACATATTTAAGTATGCATGTATAGTTGTGTATGTGTGTGTGTGTGTGTATGTTTAAATGTGTGTGTCCATGAACTTTGTAAATAATATGGATTCCGTGTGTTTATTTCCATTAGATTAGATTGTTCACACTTAATTGATCCCACACTGGGGACATTGTTGACTTTGTGGTTATTAATATGATGATGCTGATTATTATTGTTGTTGTTGAATTATCATACATTTTGGCCCATGAAGGAGGCCTTATAGGTTATCTTCTAAGTCAGCAGTTCCCAAAAATGTTTGGCTGTGTCTTCTATATCCCAACCAGGGTGAGAGGCACCCCCGAAACCCAACACCTTCGAAACAAAACAAAACATAAAGAAGCAACAATATTCTCATAAAGGCAGCATGTTTAATCATGCTCAGATGAACGTAGACACACACACACACACATATACAGCCTGCCTTTATTTATTAAGTGAAATACCAGCTCTTAATTTAAATTTTACGAAGGAAATCCCACTCGTCTCAGCTTCATATTGAGGCGAGGCTGGTGTTACAACCAATCAACGACCTCTTAGAAGATCGCGTAGGTTGGCTGTGTTTCCGTTTCTTTTGACGTAAGGGCGGGGCTAAATTGTATCTCCTAAAAGTGCAATATGGCGGGGCCGTGTAGTACAACTGACAACGGCAAAAAGAAAAAAGTTCGTTTAGGCTAGCATCATACACATACTGTAGTTCCTGAGTTCTTGTAAATGCATACTCACGAATTATTGTTGCTGTAATGTACGTTTTGTTATCCTCTCTCCAGTAGGTGGCAGTAATGTATATTCTAGCTGTTGACAACCACCAATTGATATGTCAAAAGGAAAGACTTCTCGATCGACGTAACGTTTAGTAAAAACAAGCTGTTCATTTGCAACACGTGCGTTGCAATGACTGCTGTTTTATGACGGCATGTAAATAATCCTATGAATCCTGTGTAAATTAGTGTATGATGTAAAGCAGGGTTACTACATGGTTAGCAAAGTTAGCATGTTTGCGTTAGCTTAACAGAACCATGGATCCATTGAGTGCAGTAGTAGACGAAGTGGCTTTGGAGGGACTGGACGGTATCACTATTCCCTCTCTTTGGATTCGGTTAATTGATCGGCAGCCTACGTTCCCTCTAAAGAATGACGACTGCACCAAAGAGCTAATCTGGAAGTCGCTTGTCAACAACAGCGACTTGAAGTTTTACGAGCTTCCACAGGAAAGAGACGACGTTGTACTGACCGACAGGTAAGTTCACTGTGTGTCTCCGACCATGCTAGTTAAAGCTGCTCTGTGGCAATATTAATCACACGACTACTTAGGTGTTAGCTTTGGCTTAGTAGCATCCTGTGTAAAGCACACTGCAAGTAGTCTTCAACCACAGTGAACTGTTCTGGTCAAGTCGAATTCAATACTAGTGCAAGAGGAAGGAGGCATTCCTCGTCTCCATACAACTACAAATCATTAGTCGATGAAGCTTCTATTAGTTAATCATTAAACTCAATCAACTTAATCATACTCACTGAGCTGTAGTTCTGCAGAGCTGTAGTTCTGT